AGTCCGGGAACTTTCCGGACAAACTGTGTAGGTTTACGTAACCGATGGTTAAAAGTGACTTGTAGAACGCGATACAGGGTTAACATCAGCGTCAACTTTAACGGTCGGTTAGCTAAACTCGGGTTAACTTGAAAATTGTGAAACCGGGCCTAATAGCTTAAACGAAAGATATTTTCAATATCTACAACTTTTATTTAAAGCTTTTTTCTCTAACTAGCAGTTCTCTCGATAAAAGCAAAAAACCCATTTTCTACACTTTTAACCATCATTTGTAACAAGTTCCGGGAAAAAATTTTAGATACATGATAGTAGAGGTCTATCAGTGAAGCGCACACTAAACGATAATGTACTCGGAAATCGCATTCCTTCCACCGCTTTGGCATGCTGAAAGAGAGCCAAAACTGAGAACACTGGTCCCGATTGACTTATTTTGATCTCGGCATTTGCCACTACTTTACCGAAATTATCGGCTCTCCGACAAAGTTTGCATACGCGCTGGACGGTTTATTTTTATTGATTTTTTCCACTTTTACACGATATTATTATATATCGATGTTATTACGTACCGACGATATTTTAATATTTGATAAGAAACGAGTGGATGTTTCGCGATAGCAATTCACGCGGAAGAGATTGCTGTAAAAGGTTTTTAGTGTATGAAAAGTAACAGAATAAATTTAAGCAAAAATTGTGGAGCATATTCGACGAAAAGACTCGTTTAATTTCTTAACTGAAACGTAAAATTGATCCAGTCAAGTCGAAAATCAGTCGAATAAGAGTATAAGGAACGTAACAGTGATTCGAACGGCGAAATGAGATTGTACGTTATGTTTATGCTGATTGTCGAGCTTCCGGGCGCATCGGCGAAATTCGATTTCTACAATCGGCTACCTCGGCGCCGTTTTTAACGCCTTTAGAGATTTGAATGTATGACATTAGCGCTCGGCAACTGCACGAAAGAGAATGAAGGATCTGGTGTCGGGTCACCTTGACTGTGGATAATTTAGGCTAATCGGCAGCCGGAAAGTATCGGTATGCGCCTATGAATTTGGCAGCAATTGGCCGATCGTATCCCGAGCGATGATGATTGTTAGATCTGGTTTCGATTCCTCAACAGTAATAAAGGAGTAATCACACGTCAGGTGCCGAGTAGAAAGAGGCGCGCAATCTTAACGCGCGCGAACAACGTATATAGGTAAGTCACTCTTTTGAAATTATATATTCAAAGTTACGAGAAACATTACATTACAAAATTTAACCGGCTCAGTGGTCTCGCGACCTGAGTGCGATGGCTGCAAACCCGGCCGTCCCAAGTTCGCAAATCCGCTCACAACCTAAGGATTTTTATCGGTTGAAAGGGACCGGCCCGATCGGCAAACTTACTCGGGCCTCCAATAATTTTAATTCGAGTGTAATATATTTAATCATATATAAATATACGAAATCATTTACTATTGTAATAATTTTATGTATTTATATATGATCATACAAAATCAGATCGCGCCAAATTTCGGATCTGATTTTACACGATCATATAAAATCATATCCAACTTATATAAAATCATATTCGAGTTACACCGAAACTTCATTTATTTTCCCACCCATAAAACGTGAACACTTCACTTATTTTCCTTTCAGAGGGAATCCCACCACTGCTGTAGAGTAAAGGTGGTTTTCCATTACGGTTGCAGTGTGATTGGCTGCTGCAAATCATGCCGTTTTCCGCGCCTCGTTTGATCTGCTAAGTGCAAGAGTGGAAAATGAGAGAGAAGAAAGAGTGGGGTTAAAGGGAAAACTAATTGTAAGTGGGAATATAACTGATAATGAAAGATTTTGTGAGAAGATAACCGAGTGGGAAGATAAGTGAGAGGGACAATAAATAAAGTGTATATAAAAGTTTATAGAACTATACAAAATTACACCCGATTCACATATAATCCTATATGATCACATAATTTTCCATTTTTTCTCGAGTTCTTGAAAATAACTAAATACAATGATTTTGTGGAACACTTTAGTGATGCAAAAAACACTCCAAAATATGTTGTCAATGCGTTCTTTATTACAATAGCAAACCTATATAACGTTTAAAAATAGAATTAGATATACATAACTCGGATGTCAATCTTAAAAGTGAATGTAATTATAATATGTTATTGAATCTCATTATAATATATGTATAAAAAAAAAAAAACGTTCATCTACTCCCAAAAAGTGCATTTTCTTTCAGGATTCATTGGTTTTCCCACAGGGCACTTGTAAGCCGCGGAAAAAGCTGGGAAATTCGAAATACTGACCCGAACTTTAATTTCATTTGGAATATGAATGATCATATTACGCATTTTCGTCGGGACATTTTCGCACATCNTCTAAGAAAAAGAGAAACTAATATCATTACAACTTTGTATTTCCATGTAAATGTCATTCCGTTAGTTGAGAGACACTTCTACACATCTCGTTGAGAATCCGTAATAATTTATACTTCCTTACTTGAGCATACGTTATAAAGAATATCTGATCATCGCTATACTCCTTCAGTTCCTGCAACCGCCATTCATAAGTGTTCTGCTTCGCTTGTATGTTCTTGTACGCGTAATACGCAGCTGCAAGTGCTGNGAAGTCAACATTGCTCCTTACGTCATCGTATACCTAAGATCATTCAATAATTTATACAAATCTCAAAATTCTCTAAAACATTAGATTTCTTTAAACTTTCGAAAAATTTAAGAACTCTAATTATCACAAAAATATTAAACTTTTTAAAAATATTAAACACTTTTGTGATAGATCACCATATATGCCCTACTTACAGAAGCATCTAATTTCGGATATGGATACATTATGTAGTGGTCATTAAAACACTGAAGTATTTTACTGTATTCGTTGATAGTGTATTCTAATATTAACATTAATAAGCTGTGGTACTTCACACCTGCAATTTATATTATTTCAAACAACGTGAACCTTAAAACTCATTATTATAATATTATTTCAACAATTTTCTTTCATCGACAAAAACTAAAAGTTACTTAAGTCATCACTTAAGGCGTAATTTATGCGATGTCCACTAACAAATCCAAGAGCTCCGTAGTTCATAAATCTAATAAACAATGTAATTTTAAAACAATGGTTTCCAAAAAAATCTTTTGTCAAAAAATGTTAAAAGAAAAAGTACTTACGGAATACGATTAATGTCATATATGGGATTTTGTAATACAGTGGCTGGGACAACTATATGCAAAAGATAACAAAATAAAGTAATAAAACTGAAAAAATCAAAGTTTTTATCACTTATTCTTAATAATTTAAACAACATTACCCATTTTTTCCGGACCTAGATTATAGTAAGTATCTATTATCAGATCAACATCCCATCTAGTAAGTAATACATTATGTTTAATACATCTTACATGTTTNAATAAAGCGTAAAGACTTACTCTAAAGTAATGTCAGGTGTCCTTAGCGACCGTATCATTTTCTTTCTTTCAAATTGATATAACTGTATGGCAGTGTCGAGATAGTTCGTACTGACAGAAATCTAAAATTCACATTACAATTGTTCACAATTTCTTTCTTTATTTATTTATTTATTTTTTGATAACTCTCGTAAAGTAAAATTAATAAATAATAAACATGTAACGTAACACATTCCTTCTTTTATTTATTGAACAAAACTAGAAAATACTAAAACTGAACTTTACCTAAAAAGTATTTTTATATTATTTTAGCAAGTGTACCTACATTTTCGTAATATCTATCAATAGCTTCGTCGTTGTACCACTCGGGCATAATAAATTCGTGTTTCATATACATAAGTCTCTCAAGGTACGTCTTTTTTGTTGGCTCGTCCATCCAAGTGGAATTTTCTATTTGTTTGCGAATTGCGTCTTTAACGTTTGTAAGTATTGATGTGATCTAAAATGATTTGGTTTTATAATATCCACAAGTGCAATTCATGTTATGTACAATGTGTATTTTATGTAATTGCATGAGTCTTACGTCCTGTATAGTATCGTTTGATAAATATTTTTTTACATATTCATGCAAAATGGCATGTTTCAAATTTGATTGTGTAATGCACGTTTGTCAATTTTGGTATCGTTCGGTTCCACTTGTTTAGTGTTGCGAAAATAAAACCACTGAATTGAATTCCATATCATATGATTAACTGCAATCACAAATATAATAGGAGTTACTAATATGCAGGGTGTAGTAGAATTGGTGTAACATCTCTCGTGAACAAATAGAAGGAGTAAAACTGAGTCAAAAAGTTTTATATCACTTTGCTAGATTCGGAATAATTACCAAGATCTTAATTAACAAAGATCTGCAAATAAGCACGCATCGAGCTGTCTTACTCGCTTAAGACAGCCCAGTGCGCTTCGCGCGCTTACGGTGTTACCCATCGCAGCATATGTGTAGGAGGAGCTACTATAACAGCATATACTATATAACATATACATATTAAAATGTAATTGTGTGAAGCGCGCCGGGCTGTCCTACGCGCGTAAAACAGTCCGATACACACTTGTTTGCGGAACTTTGTTAATTAAGATTTCGGTAACTATTGCGAATCTAGCAAAATGAACTTGTCGACTCAGTTTTACTTCTTCTACCTGTCTACGAGAGATGTTACACCAATTCTGAGACACCCTGTATATTTATCTTTATTGTGTTTGCTTCAAATTATATTAATCTGTAAAAGTTTATTGTTCCAAAAAATTCTTTTACCAATAGTGCGAGAAGATGTGAACTCTAGTAAATAAGCCAAGTTATGAATATAGTAGTACGTTTCAAGTTGTACGACGAGCTTCTCAGAGTGTCCAATCGCAATTCCTTCTGACGCAAAGACGCTTTGAACAGTGTCAAGCAACTCAATCTGTAAATAAAGTTTCACAATCATCTTAATCTGTTTTACGTAATGAAATATTATATATACTAAACAATTAATCACACAAACCATTTTTTTTTCTGAGGGATATTGCATACCATACTCTATTATCAATTGTTGAATAGTTAGCGAAAAAGAAATGTGATTCATGTTTACGTAGTGTTGAAGAATCGTTCGTCGCTGTGAAAATTACAATAATAAAACAAGCATTCAAAACAAATTGCCATTAAGATATTTTTATATATGTCATTTGTTTAAAANCTTAATACGTAAGAAGAAAACTGTATGAAGTTTGAAATAAGCAATACTTAAAAATGCTTACATTACATGTAGTGATTTAAAAGAAATACTAATGGTTTCTACTCACGTTAGCCAGTTCTATCTCAAATTCTACCATATCTTTTACATCTTGAGTAAAAGTATATAAGTCGACAGTGCTATTAGTTTCCTCAATTAAATGTAACGCAAAAGTGGTGATAATATTAATGTACATTTCTTTCTGTATTTCATCTTCGTTAAGCTTAAGCATGACATCTCGCGAGAATAAAAACTCNGGTTCACTTATCTAAGAACAAACATAAATTTCGTAAAATAATATCACATTGCATATATACCGAAATATTTGTATCATTTGCAACATCTAAGTATATGCGTTTTTAGTTGCACATGCACCTTGCAGGTGCTACTTCAACTTTTCTCTTCCACAAGTACGATAAATACACTATATCAATATGAAGTACTAATTGTTCTACAGAATATATTTTATATTTTATATTGCGTGTACAAACACAATATACATACAAATATGACGTTACTGTTAGCATTTCGGGCGTCCGGCACAACTTTTATATTAAACAAGCCGTTTTGAAATCCATTTTTATGTAAGTCTCTGCTAACACTCTGCCACGACAAATGTTTATCGTCCCAATTGCGATAAGGCATAACTAGTGGCCATTCGGCGTATTTACTTAAAATGGCGGTAAAATTAATATTTCCGTTCGCATCACTGTTATCTAAAGAAAAATAAGAATGCGTTTGTTTTTTTTTTTAAGTTGATATTCGGTTTCGTTTACGTAAAAGAGGTTTTGAAATTATTAATTAAGTTTCGTATTTTTTACAATATAGATACATACCTTTTGTCACGCATTGCGAATATATTGTTTTTGCTTTTTTGAAAGACTTCGTATCACTTTCTTTAGGTGGTTCTTCTAAGAGTTCTAAAAGCAAGAAAACGACAAATTGTTATTTATCAATACTGACTGTTATATATCTAAGCACATATATTCAGAAATATAGTTTGTCCGACTTTATCTATAGTTCTAAATAAACCTAAATAGAACAAACACACTCCAATTACTTCTTATTACACACATACGCAAATGACAAATACGTTTTTCGTTACAACTTTTATTTTATATAATTTATATAAGCACGAAAGTTTTGAGTTTAAATATCTATAATTTCTTGTTTTAGTAGAATATGGCAAAATTGCAGTAAGTAAGAGCATTACGATTTAGACTTCTCGTTTTTCAGAGCTATCTAATTATTTCTTTTAGTATTGAGAATTCCCTGATATTCTTGAGTGACTGTACAACTGTAGAATGCGCGCTTATCTTTACTACAAAAGTCTAACTGCTTTTGTCATATCTTTTGATAGCTTTCCTCTAGGAATAAATATACAAAAACTTATACTTAATCTTGTAAATACAATGATCGAAAATTGATCAAAGATAAAGTAAAAAAATCATATATTTTATGTCTTTTGTTAGTCTCTAGTTGGTCTCTAATGAAGAAGAAGCAACATTATCCAAAGTTGTAGATTCTCTGTTATGCGCACAAATTTACTGAAGTTCTATTGCAATTTTTTTAAGACATTGAATACACATATACAAATGTGTATTCTTCTTTATGCAATAAGCCAGAATTAACTTTAACATTCAATACTTTTCAAATAACTATTTATAAAATAAAGCGAAAAGTAGAGCAAATGTTGTTATTTTTAGAAATATTTAAAGTTTTATGTATGTACTGTTGCTATGACTTCGGTGTTTGTGTATAAGCAATTTCTTTTCTTGTATGAGTTATATGTTTCTTTTAGATGATCGATATAATTTTAAAATTTTACGTTGTTCAAAGTAGGTTAAAATAAATGTACGTTAATCAAAACAGGAAGTAAATCAAAAAATGGAACTCTTATCATCCGTTTGCTATGATAAACAAATACTTGTAAACAAAACATATAAGNTTGGCTCGATTTGATATGCACACTTTCACATTTTTTAAAGATATTTGTATTGTACATACACACACTTATATATAGGCAGCATTAAAGTTATACTAAAACTATACCTCGAAGTTGCTTCTCCGTTTGTTCGGTAATCTCGGTAAGCGTAGAAACGTATGAATCTGATTGATTCAATTGAGTTTTTTGCAACCATCCGCCACAAGCAAATTTGTAAAAATCATCGCAAGGATCAACCGTGCGGTTTAGTTTGGCTTCAATCTCTGCAGCTAAATAAACAATAAATTTAGTAATAGTCAAACACATAAAATAAGATACAAAGCAAAAATATAAAAGCATATATTTATGTGTATATATATATA